CTACATGATCATGATAAAATGGGGCATAGCTCGGCTTGGAGGGGGCATTTTACTGCTTGCCATCGACCACTGCCGATGCATGTGGACAATTGTAAACCCTTGTAAAGCTGTGCAATAGCGCGAGCTTCATTTACAAATGACAAGGGTTTACAGGTTCACCAATGTGAAGCATGAAAGTGCACATGAACAAGTCAAAGAAGCGGCAAACTAGAAAGTTGCCCCCACAAGCCGAATAACGTCAAAATTAAAATGTGTAAAGTAATTTCTGTCTCGGAATCTTCGCGTTGAAGTGCCCCAGCGTCTTGGAAAAGCGCAGAGATTTCCCATAATAAATTGAGGCGCAGTTCGGTTAGGAGGGGACATTTTGCCGGTCCCCATCGATCACTCTCAATATCTGTGGAGGCCTGTAAACTTTTGTAAAGCCATGCAGTAGCAATAGCTTCTTTTATATTTGCCAGAAATCTACTGGTCACGCCAAGGGGGAAATATGAGCTCGCAGGAACAAACAGAAGAATCTAGCAAACTGAAAAGCTGCCCCTCCAAGTCAAACAGCGCCACAGATAAAACGATTAACGTTGGTTTTGAGTGCCTGAGGTCAGAGGTGCCTCCCCCTTTGTCCTGAAAAACCACAGAAATTTGTTACCTCTTGTATGAGTTCGCTGAACATTGTGTCCAAACTTCCTCGACGAGCCATTTGCTCAGAAAATCTGTGAAGAAAGCAGAAGTGGCCTGGGCGTAACGAGTACGGTGGAAGTGCTTTTCGCAAGGCGCTAAGCACAACCACGTGCTTGGAGAAATCAGTAAGAAATGAGCACCTCTTCGGCCATGCTTATCAAAAAATCGTTATCATTTCAGGCAAATCCACCTCATCACTACGCACGATCACGTCGTTCTTTTTGCCAAGAAACACGGTGAAAACAATCAACATCAACAGCACAATGACGACAAGGTCAGTAAGCAGTACGAAGATGAAGGAGGTCGTGGTGCAGGTGCAGCAGCTGGGAGGCAATTTATCGATCTGCCCAGGCACCTAATTCTGTATACTCGAACAACGAGAATCAATACAAAGCAGTTATCCTCAAAAAAAACAGCGCTTGAGTAAACGCCTCTGAACGGCGGAGGCGAATGAAGTCGTTGACGTTCAGGAGCGCTTCCCGAAGTGAGTCGCACGCAGCTTAATGACAAGGATTCCCCGCCCACTTCATCCGTTCACGGCGGACTTGTTTTTGCAGTGTCGCGTCACGGGATTACCCTTTGAAGGAGCTGAATGGAATATTAGATAGTATTCTGAATAAAATCCACTTATGACGTAAACGAGGGTAAGAGCAGAGGAAGTGCAAGGGGGAATATCCCATGCAATCAATTATCCACTGGGAACCGATTGCTTTACGCTTGTTCCCCAAAGGAAAATCGGCGCTGTTCGGTCTTAGGGAGGGGGATTTTTCTAGCGCCTGTTAGCTTACACTCACACCTTGGTCTGACCTGTGGACTCCTGTCAAGTGTGAACGGAGTTCATGCCACTACATAGCTTCACAGGAGTTAACAGGTCTTTACAGGAGGCACTGGCAATGATCCGTGGGAACCAGCGAATTGCTGACCAATGACTCACGTGAGTCAGT